CTCAGCAGTAAATTCTAGAAAAGGGCAGGGTCTCATCAAGGAACACTAACTTGACTACATTGAAGTGTAAACCCCTTTTCCCAGACCCCTCCATGCTGACATTGGAAATCAGGGGTAGAAACATCTTCCACTGCTGGTAAATGGCGATGATTAGGACAGAGCCTGGGCCCTCCACAGGCGTAGCCCTGCATCCAGGCACAGTGCTGGGCCCCACTGGGCCTGTGCTTAGCAAACCTCCCCTCTAGGAATCCATGTTCGTCACCTCCCCCTCAGGGCTAGCTGGAGCAGACTTGGTGTTAGGCCCTCAGTCAGGCTGGCTTGTCCTTCCAGGGGAACGTCTGGCCCAGAAAAAAGGAAAATCACTTAGTGCTTGGCATTCGAGTCCTTGCCAGCAGGAAGGTGACCTGCAGCTGAACCCGCCAGTACTGTGCCTCCCGCTGGGACCAGATGGCACCCCAGACTTGCCCACTCCAACAACCTGCTCTGCTCAGCCACTTCTACTTCCAACAAGACCCACTAGAGATCACATTCCTAGCTTCTGAGTTCCCACCTCCCCAAAGAGCCTCAGTTAGGGGGGAGGTTGGTGACTTCCACACAGAATTGCCCTCAAAGAGCAAAGAGAAGAGATAGTGTGACTACAGACGAACGTGGAGGATAGCAGTGACACAGTAGCTTATCCAGAACCAAAGAAATCTTCCCAGAAGAGCACCATCGCCCTGACTGGGGGGTTTCGGGATAGGTAGATGTGAGCTGAGAGTCAAGACTTGGTAAGGTCATGGCAACATCAAGAGATAGAGGAGTCAAGGCCAGGGGAACAGCAAGGGAAGTAAACCCAAGGTAGGGAGAAGTGTGTGGGCAGTGTGGCAAGAAGACTGATAGGGCTGGCACAGAGAGAAGCAGGGTTAGGGGTGCAGCTAGAGGTGCTGGAGAAGCCAACAGCAGCCACCGTGGGCAGGACACGGAGACTTCTGTCATGAGTTTGGATTTTGGTTGAAAAATCACAGAAACAACTGTAGGGTCTTGGGCAGGAGGATGCTGTTATACGATTTTCCTTTTTCAAAGATGTTGGCGGCTGAGGGGAGAATAGACTTCACAGGACCAGAGTAGGAGCCATCCGAGAAAGAGCTGGTGGGAGCCTGGACTGAGGCAAGGAGGATATTGGAGATGAGCGAGTGGTCTAGGCTGACTGGCTGTGGTGATGAAAGCCAAGACAGGAGCAAACGGAGGGGGGAGCCATCGTTGCCAAGATGGGCAGCTGGCAGGGAGCAGGCTTGGGGACAAAGGAATCCTGAGATCACGGTGACCTGAAGAGGCACTTAGAGATGGATCACCGTCTGTGTGTTCTTTTTTGCATGTCACTAGGAGAGCTACTTACATAATTCTTTAAATCAACCTTAAATAGACTCACTCCTTTTTAAAGCTTGGTCTTAAGCAATAGTATTCATAACATCAAGAGACTGGTGAGCTGTTTGTTAGTATAGTTTTCTGAATACACTTTTAAATTGTTCTATGATTTCAGCCCTAACTCTTGGCTCCCCGAGCCGAGTCTGAGTATCTGGCCTCTAGACTTGAACGAGCGCTTTGCCCTGGGCACCCAAGCACCTCTGATGGCATTAGAAAGGACCATGGTGAGGCATTGAGGGAGATTCAGTCCAACGGTTGAACCTGGCCTTGGGGGCAGCCATCCTCTGTCACTTTCATGGACCCTACCCGTCGGCTCCACGGTCAACACTCTTGGCACCAGCAGTCAGGAAATCAAAAAATGTATTGCGATGGGAAAGTCTGCTGTTAGGGACCTCTCTAAAATACTCAAGAGCAACGGTGTCTCTCTGGAGACTAAGGTGCGCCTGATACAGGCCATGGTCTTTGCAATCACTTGTTATGCATCAGAGTTGGACAGTGACTAGGGAGGACAGAAGGAGAATTGATGCCTTTGAGCTGTGGTGCTGGAGAAGAGTATTGAATGTACCATGGGCTGCCAAGAAAACAAACAGATTCATCCTGGAGAGGATTAAACCAAGCAACTCCTTGGAGGCAAGGATTCTGGGGCTTCGTCTGACATATTTTGGGCATATTTCAAGGAGGGACCGGTCCTTGGAGAAGGACATCATGCTTGGGAGGGTGGAGGGACAGCGCAGGAGGGGAAGGTCCTCTATGAGGTGAATTAATTCAGTGACTGGGATAATCGGGATGGGAGTGTCAGAGACAGTGCGATTGGCACAGGACAGAGCGGAGTTTAGGGCTGTTGTACATAGGGTCGCTATGAGTCGCAAGGGACTTGACGGCACATAAGAACAACAACAACAACAACCCGCCTTTGGTGAGGAAGGGGCAGAACCCCATACCTTTCCTTAGGTTCATGCACCCCCTGGTGGGTGGGATCCCTGCCTCTGTGTCCTGGGGGCTTCAGGACGTCCGTCCTCTTCCAGGCTTAACACTAAGAGGCCCACCTTCTGCCTTGACCTCCCCGGAAAGACGGGACAAGTAGACTAACTGGAAACGTCACACTTAGGAACAGAGACATGCTGCCGAGCCTGGTGCTCATGGTCGGTCAGGGGATGCAAAGTCGTGACCAAATGGAGAAGGCGAGCAGTGGGCGGGCAGGACATTTGTTTTCTATAGGTCACTAATGCAGAGAACACAAATTGATGGCCTTATACACAAGGCAATTTACTTCAGGTGGGTCTTTAGGAAAAACATTGCAGCTTACGCATTTTGAATAAAAAGCAGGGAACATCAGACTGTGCTGAATAAACAACACATTGGAAACAGTGCTTCAGGTCTTACACTGTAGCCGTGAGAGGAGAGGCGGGGCCGTGGCCCACAGCAGGCTTGGGGAGGGTCACACTCCTGGGGACAGGGCAACTCAGAGGTGCAAAATGGGGTGAGCAGAGACCAGCATCCTTTCTGGCACACATATCCTACCATGTCCACACAGGAGCCCACGTGTGCACACCCACACACCCCCACAGAAAGAACGTCCTCGGCCATTCCTTTATCCTCTTCCCAATGAGCAAATTACACTTGGATGAGGTGAAGAGACCCCCAGCAGTACAGCACGCATGGGGTATTACACAGAGGACTGCAGTGAGTTCTGAGGAGGAAGAAGTGACAAAACACCCCCCAACATAAAAAGAAACCCCAACAGCCAAAAACCAGCAAGGTGAGAATACTGGGGAAAGGGAATGAGAAAGGTCTCAGGCAGGAGCGGGAGAGGTCCCAGGCACTCCAGGCACCACAGAAAGCCATGGATGACTACAGTCAGGGCTGTCCGGGGAAAGGGAAGCCAAAGGAACACACGGTGGACAAACAAAGGATCCTCGGTGGACTCCCCATGTGACCCAGAGGACCAACCGTTTGTCCTGGGGTAATCCCAATCCCAGATCCAACATCCCCCGCAGGAAGTTGGGGTGGGCTAGGGGAAAAGCTATGCCTCAGAGAAAACCTGCAGCTGTCTAGGGAAAACCAGGGTGAATGAAAAGTTTTCAGTCTCACCATCCTCCTGCCTCCAGGCCCAATGTCATCCTAGACCTACAAAACAAACAGCTTGTCCAGGTTCCGACATATGGTGAAAACTGAACGCCTTAGTGCAACCTTAGTAACGAGCATCTTGCAAACAGCTGGCCAGGTCTCCAAGGACGGTTCCTACTGGGAGCTCATCCTTTCCTGTAGTGAAGGAGTTCAAAGCCTTTTCCTCCAACCCAAGCTCCAAATGGGCAGTGTGCAAAGAGAATTGTCCTTCATGGATACGGTCCCCTCGTTGTCGTTATCTTCAAGGACCAGGGCCGTGAATGGGTAACGTTATAAAGCCCACCAAGTGCGTATTCCCCTTTTGAGGTATCTTACTATCGGCTAGGGAAGAGACCAAGATACCACGCTGCATGATTATGAAAGAAATCTGGCTGGAAGATTGCTCATGAAAATAGAGTGGCATGCATGAAGGCACTTGAATTCGCACCTAGATCTGCCTGCCCCCTGACTAAATACCCAGCTCAGACATGTGTCCTTCCAAGAGATCTCCCCCAAGTCCACAGGCAGAGTCAGTTTTTCTGCCCAGATACATCCGCTGACAAGTGGAAGTGCAGGCGTTCACATCATTACTGTTCATTGTATTTCTTTACACCCTTCCCAGTAAAATAAACAGTTTTTGAATGTTCTCCTGTGTTAACAATGTCACAAGGTCACAGACAGGGCAGTGAGGGAGACTAGGCCACCTTGGCCTTGCCCCAAAGTGCTCACAGTCTGGAGGGGGAAGCACAGTGTTCTAAGAGCCAGGGAAGACCTGACCTGAGTCCTGAAGGACCACTGGGGGTTTGCAGCCAGGTATTCCAGGGAAAGTTCTAGATGAGAGCAGCAAAATATGAGGAATGAGAGAGGGATGGAGGAAGGGCGAGAGTGCAAGAATGGGAACCTTAGAGTGAGGAAAACCCACGAATCATTCAAAGGAATTTATGAACTTGTAAGTGTCTCGAATGCAAATGTTAACTTGAATTGTCCCCCCATTGTCCACCAGCCTCTGAACAGAGGAACAACAGCCGGGCTCCTGGCCACACCCTTCCCAGGTGGCACTGCCTGCTGGCCAACTGCCAACTGGCTTTCGGCCCATTCCTCGGCCCTTCGCGGAGCAGAAGTCAGGATAATCACCACTTCCCTAGCCAGGAGATGGTTGCAGAGACCTGTTCCTGGCTGGGAAGCACGCGGAGCAATCGACAGGGAGCGGCAGCCTCAGGTGAGCCCCCTCCTTGGGAGGCAGCCAGTACTCATGGTAAAGGCCTGCACCACTGCTTGAACTACACACGTGTGCAGGGACATGACAGCACTGGGGGCGCGTGCTGGGAAAAGCAGGGGTCAGAACCTAGTGCGGGGTGGCCGGCTGCAGAGGGTCCTGGACAGAGGGCAGAACGGGAAGCCAGGCTCCCAGCCCGGGACTCAGCTGGCAGACAGACTTGGAAAAGCAGAAGCTCCTGGAGTCCAGTCAGCACGTTATGGGCCGTTTGTTAGCGACACTTGTGGGGGGAGGATGCTGGAACAGAGACTGAGGGACTATTTGAGGAGAGAGTAAGGATAATGCAGAGACACACAGAGACCTACACTGTTCTTCTAGATCCTGGGGTCAAGACCAAGGCTGGAGAGGTAGTTGGGTTCCAGCCATTACGGTTTCTCTTCAGCGGCTGGCTCCGGGCTGGTGATCCCATCTGACAGGTAATCATCTTCATTGTGCTGCTTCATCTTGGTTTCCAAAACCGTGATCCTCTGCTTGAGCTTCTGCTGGGCCCCCGTGTACTCAGCCAGCAGGCGGCCAAAGCGCGTGTACAACGTCTCCATGTTGGTCTCCAGCTGCTCGAGCTTCTCCTGCACATCGACCTCCATGCTTGCCGCCACCTCATTCTCATCCAGCAGCCCCTCCTTCATCAGAATCTCCCGACCCCTCTCCTCTAAGACTTTCTTGGCGTCAGGGTACTCGGTCACCGCTTCCATGAGATCGTCCTTGGATAAGCAGAACAGATCGGAGTAGCCAAGGCTCCGGATATTGGCTGTGCGTCGATTGCCCATTTTGCTGCCCTTGATGTTAAGGATGCTGATCTCTCCAAAGCAGCTCCCTGCTGAAAGCAAGGCGTACTGAGTCACACCGTCATCAGCCACCACCGCCAACTTGCCCTCCTTGATTATATACATCTCCTTGCCGATGTCCCCCTTTCGGCAAATGTAGTCTCCAGGGCTGAAGACCTGAGGCCGGAGCTTCAGTACCAGTTCCACCAGCAACCCTGCCTCACAGTCCTGGAAAATGCGCACTTTCTTGAGTGTGGACAAGTGGACGTTGATGGCTATCTCTGCCCTGAGCTTGGCTGGCAGGTTTTTGAGCACTTCTCGCTCATCCACAGTCTTCTTATTGGTCCAAAGGTAGTCAAACCAGCGGATGACCTTGGCCTCCATCTCCTTGCTCACCTTGCGGAACTGCATGTAGTGTTTGACGGCATCGATCTTGGCTTGAAACTCAGCTCTGGTGGCGTTCATGTTGGAGATCATAGAGCCCACATTTCCCACAATGGTGGCAAAGATGAGGACACCGATCAGAAAGTCAAAGATGACGAACAGGTACTCCTCGTCTTTTACCGGGGGTGGGGTCTCCCCAATAGTGGTGAGGGTCAGCGTGGACCAGTAGAGGCAGTAGATGTACTCCCTGGCCAGGTAGCCGTACTCAGGGTCGGTGATGTTGGGGTACACCCACGTGTCCACTCCGAAGCCGATGGACTTGGAGATGGCGTAGTAGATGCAGGCATTCCAGTGGATGATAACCAGGATGTACAGGACCAGGTTGCTGATCCGGAAGATGTTGGGGTAGCTGGTGCGGGTCTCGGTTCGGTCAAAGAACTCAAACATGCGAGCAAAGTGCAGCAGGCGGTTGAATCGCAGCTCAGGGCTGTGGATGCCCACAGCAAAATAGACCAGGTCGGTGGGGATGATGGAGGCCACGTCCAGCTTGAACTGCAGGGTGTGGATGTAGTTGTCCCGCAACTTCTTGGTGTCTTTGACCAGCAGCCCTTGCTCCAGGAAACCTAAAAGGCAGGAAAAGCAGTGGGTCACCTCGCTCCTCAGGCCTGTGTCCCTTCTTCGAGGCTCAAGCTAAGCAAGGAATAGAATAAATAATCTACTGTCCTTCCCTGTTGTTGTTTGTTGTGTGTTGTCGAGTCAGAACTGACTCATAGCAGACACTCCAGTGGGTTTTAAGGGACAGCAAATTACACAAGAGAAGATTGCTCTTCCTTCTCCAGCAGAGCAGCTAGTGTATTTGAACTGCGTGCCTTTGGGATTGCAGTGCAGCTTCTTAGCACGAGGCCACTAGAGCTCCCTACCTCGGGAGTGATATAGAAACTCACACAGCGGGGCAAGGTGAACAGATCCGGAAACCAAGCTTACCCACCTTACTAAGAATGGGGAGCCCACGGTACTCAAAGAAGGTTGGGAATCAACTTGAGTATCTTCCCTGTAACTGAGTCTAACACTGTCCAAAGGGCTTCTTGAACGTTGGGCTCAGGAACACGGGCCTGTGGGTCCTGCCCGGCTCCCGAGTGGCTCACTCACCTGTGCGCAGCCGAATGAAAAGGTCCGTGATGTAGACCACATCTGAGAAGTAGTCCAGCACCAGCCACACCACATAGTAGCCTCGCTGTAGGTCACTGAAGCAGGCTCTGGAGGAAGATAGTGCTGAGATTCACTTTTTAAGCCATTCAAGAGGCTCTGCATTTCTTCCCTTTGCTAGAATGCTCCCTTCCCTGGGCCTCAGGAAGCGAAGATAATGGCTCCCTCCCACCACCGTCTCTGAGAGTTCTACTCTATCCTTTCTCCTTAACTCTGTAGCGCTAGTTCCTGAAATTACTTTGGCCGTTGGTTCTGTTTCACGTTTACAATCAGTGTTCCTCACTAGCCTGAGAGCCCAGGAGAACAAAGGCCATGTCTGCCCTTCCCATTATCCCCCACACTGAGCACAGCACCTAGTACCCAGTCAGTGTTGAGTGAGCAACTGAAGTGAGACTAAGGAAGTTACCTGAAGAGAGAGGCTTTTGAACAAGGCCTGCAAGGCGAATATTCCCAGGATGAAAGCACATAAAGGGGGTAGGGGGTCTTCTTTTAAGGAAATGGCATGTTGTGACCCAGAAGCAATGAGTGGAGGAACTAGGGTGTGCCAGAAGGGGGTGCTAGAAATAATGTGGCGACCAAGTCCAGAGAGAGCCTGAAAGGTCATGCTTAAGGCTTGTACTTCATCAAGTGGCCAATGAGGAGCTATTGAAGGGTTTTCTCTGGGGAAAGAGATAAATGACACCAGCAGATTCAGTTACTAGTCGTCATGTTCACTCCAAGAGTGGAGAATGCACGGAGGAGTGCCTGAAAATGACAGAGTTGCACCGGAAAGATGGCCTGAAGGACACCCGACAAGGAGACGCGGTGGCATATTAGACACAGCGGTGAGGTTGACGGTGGCCTGGCAGCTGGCGGTGTCATTGGAAGGTAAGGAATCGGGGGGGGGGGGGAGGGGGGCGGGGGGGCGGGGGTTTTTGGGGGAAGGAAGGGACCGGGGGGGGGGGGGGAAGGTGATGTTTCATTGAGATCAGTGTCCACATCTGGCACTTGGGGTTCTCGAGCTGCTCACCTGGCCACCAGTAGGCACCAGTTGTAGAGGACAGGCATGGCAATGACAAAGAGCCAGCGGTAGTACCAGTCCCCAGCCGGGTCCAAAACGAACAGTTCAAATTTTTTCCTGAGGAGAGAGATAAAGGACAGACCTAGGGATCAAGCCCAGTGAGGCAGCACCTCAGCTCCCAGATACCAGGGTCCCCAGGAAATCACTGCATGAGAGGATGTGCAAGATGAGGGGTACTGGCTGAGTAGAACTCACATGCATGTGAGATGCCCCCTTCCCCCGTGACCCTAACATAGCCTTGGCCTTGCTTGCCCTCCAGGCTCCTTTCACTCAGGGCGGGTCTCAGAGAAGCACTGAGAGAGAAGTCAATGCACTTCCCCATCAGCTGCTTTCCGTATTTGGTGGCTGGTCCCCAGACTCCAAAAGCCTTTTCCCAAATGCTGCAGCCTGCCTTGGCAAGAGCCCTTTTCCTCTACGGGCCAGAAGTGGGGAACGATGGCTTGGCAAGACATGTGCAGTCGCAGTCTTTCCTCAAAGACACCCCCTCACAGCTGCGTATTCTCTGCTTCACCTCAAACCGACACTTCAAGGCCTTCCTTGCCAGCTCCCAACAAGGCCTCTTTCGGAGACCCAACTTCTCATTCACTTTGTGTCTGGGAAGAGCATAACCTCAAGGTGTTGGGCACCATCAAGTCGGAACCAACCCAGAGCTGACCCTCCAGCAGGTTTTCAGAGGCCATTAATCACACGGGAGGAGATTGCCCGTCCGTCTCCCGCGGAGCAGCTGGTGGCCTCGAACCATGTGCCTTCAGGATTGCAGCACAGCTTCTTACCACTAGGCCACCAGAGCTCCCAAGAGCATCCCATAATCACACTTCCTCTGCACTTACTGGTTGCTAGAGTTTGAACTAGGGCTGGCCTGTCCTTGACCGGGCTCTTGCCTGCCCCCCCACCCAAGGTAGGTGCCCTCCTACGGGCACTTCTTGCTACACAGGTAGTGAACCATCTAACAAGGGGCACCTGAGATGAGAAAAGCCACCAGAGACACCCATGGCAAGCGGGCCACTGGCTCTTCGGGAGGCTGTGTGCAAGCACAAGGAAAATGCTCTGCCCTCCTCCCTGGGCTCCCGCTGCCCCGGCATAGCGAGACTTGGGGGATCGCTCCCCACGTGTGCCCTCTCAGCCCTCTAATTGCACGTTTGGGAGCCTTTCGCGCTAAACAGGCTGCACCACTGTACTTGGTGCCCTTGCCCGCGCCGTCCTCGCCGCCTTTGCCGTCCCCTTGCTGGGTAGTCACGGTCTGGAGCTCAGGCCCACGGAAACGCTCGAGGAATGAGTCGGGTCTCGGTTCTTCTTCCCGGAAGTTCTTGTTGGCCCACTCTCGGATGACCCCCACCAGGCGGACGATCCTGAAAGACAAGAGAAAGGAGGAGCCTGAACTGCTCTGCTCACAGAGGGCCTGAGACTGCGAGGTCGAGGTCGGCGTGAGGGAGACGAAGGGAGAGTCCGGAAAGCAGGCCGTGATTTCCGCAGTGCTCAGAGCTGGAATGGAGGCAGCAAGCAGGACAGCGGCTGAGGCGTGTGGGAGTGGGGGGAGAATGTTTCCCTGGGGTGTGGCCTGCAATACCTTTTATTTTAAAAGTGATAAAGGAGAAGCAAGCAGAGAGAGAGACTTCAGTGCCACCAAGAAAGAAGAGCCAGGAGCAGAGCACATCCTTTCAACCCAGAGTGCCTGTGTCAAGAGCATTCTAGACCCAAAGGAAGACTGACTCCAAGACACACGGAGATTCCCAAGGGATGGTGGGCTCACCGCGCCTCACAGCAACAAGGACCTTCTTCTAGAGTGAATGGAGAAAAAGCTTAGCCCAGGCCAGCAGCCTCCTAAACACTGAAAGGCTAAATCTCTAGCTATCAAGTACCATCCTGTAGGAGCCCCACTAGAGGCAGTTGGGTGAAGTGTTGCTCTCGACTTTCTGATTTTATCAAAGAACCTGTGGTTCCTCTAGGGTAGAGGCCAAGGAGTTCTCTACCTAAGCTCCTCAGTCGGGCATAACTCTTCCCCTTGATGCTGACACAGGCAGTCCAAAGGGAAGTTTCCACTCAGTGCTTGTCTCTAAGAAGCGGGGATGGTTGGTCAGAGGAGTACCAACAGTGGTCCACCGGCTCCGTGGTGGAGAGATCCCACTGTGCAGAACAGCATGCGGCGGACAGTGGTAGAACCCACCTGCGGAAGCCACCCCTTCCCCTCTGAGGGGCATCCATGTCCGCCAACCTCTGCAGTTCTGAGGAGGTGTCATCATCAGCCGCAGACTGAGGCCTGCAGAAGAAAGAGCAGAGTTGGTCAAAAGTTCTGCAGGCCTCCCCTGTCTCCTGTACTCAGTGTTTCCTCCTGGAACACAGCAAGAAAGCCCTTGGTGCCTTTAAAGGACGTTCTTGAGACGAAGATTGCTTCTTTTATGACAATGAGGCAGAGCTGGAAGGAAGAGCAGCTCCTGGACCAACCCGGAAATGGCTCAACCACAAAAGACTTACCTGCTGCTGGTGCCACGGTCATCTTTGCCATTGGCCTTGATGGTAGGAGCTGCATGGTTGTGGTTATTGGCTGGGGAGCTTTTCACACCATTGGATTTTTCTGTCATCCTCCATGTAAGGCCCCAAGAGCCAGGACCCTTACCTGCCAAGAAGACAGTAAAAAAGAAGGCCACGGAGGACCCAGACACCCACAAAACAGAGCTGAACAGGATATGCGCAGAGCCAGCCCCCACCTGGCACTTCCCAGCACTCCCAAACACGGATACCGCACGAGTGAGCAGTACTCGAGTGCCACGTGCCATGCCCGAAGGAGCGGTAATTGAAAACGATCGGGGTGCTGATCTGCAAACTGTGTCGTTTATCTAAAACGTTTGCTTTTTCTTTACTGCCCCTACCTACAATATTTTGACATATCAACCATCAAATCTGAAAGAAGCCAAAACCCACAGTTAAACAGGAAAGGTTGACTCCATTTCCGGTGCCCCTGCTTTGCATCTATCTGGTACGTGCTTAGGCTGTTGGGCAGCTTCACGCTGGCCCCTGCCTCAAGCTCCTGTTCCGCAAGAGCCCTAAATGGCCCCGAGGAATGTACCCCACCCGAACCACCTCAGGGGCCGCGCTGCTTCTTCCACCAGCTCCAGACACACCTCAGCGCCAGCCCAATAATGCCCGAGGAGGTGGGTGTTATGAGTCGAATTGTGTCTCAAAATCAGACATGTTAGAGTCCTAACCCCTGAATCTGGAATGTGATCTTGTTTGGAAAGAAGGGTTTTCTCTGAAGATGTTATCAGTTGCTAAAGAGGCCATAGTGAGGGAAGATAGGTCTCATTGCTAATCCTCTCAGCGAGCATGGCCACTGCCATGGTCTTCAACTTCCAGCTTCCACAACTGGAGAGAATATGTTTCTCTTCTTTAATCACTCACCTTGTGGGATATATAGAACTAACACTGAGAAACATGAAGGGCCTGTGGAGGGAGGAGGGAGCGAAGTATGTAAGAGCATGGGGTGGGGGGGTGGCTAACGGTAGGCAGTGGTTCAGAGTTAGGAGTCTCGTTAAGGGCTACAGGGAGCCTCTGAAGGGCTGAGCAAGAGAGTATCAAGGGCCATAGTATATTTTAGGAAGATCTGGGTGGCTGCTGGGGAGGATAGGCTAGAAGGACAGCAAAGGCCAAGGCAGGGTGGTAGAGGGAAAGCCGTCGCCTGAGGTCTGCGTTAACATTGGAGAAGATGGTACCGATGGGGCAGAGGGCCAGTGAATAGACTGCAGAGCTTCCTAAGAGGAAGGATGGGGAGGACATGGAAATGGGTTGGGTGCAGAGTGGGAGAGAATAAGTAGCGGGATCAGGAAGGAACGAATGAGTGAGAGCGCAGATGAACGCACTTGAAAACACAGACACTGGAGAACGGAGTGAAGGAAGAGGCATCAAAAAGTCAGACTGAGAAGGAACATCCTGGGAAAAAAACCCAAAGCCCGTGACTCGGGGATCACTGAGACATCCGTGAGGCTCCCTCCTGCTGGGGTGTCAGGAGGGCGGCATGGTGCGCACGTTTCCATGCCAACCCCCAGGCTTCCCACCACCCCTAATGCTGGCCGCGCAGCTCCCAGGCTGTTCCTGGACTCCCTCAGCTTGTTCCAGCTCCTGAGACTGTCACCATGGTAATGGCAGGTACGTCAAGTGCTGTGGTGAGTGGTGATAACAAGCAGCCTCGGAGCTGTCTGGTGCAGCTGTGGGACTGTGGCAGAGGGATGTTAACGAGGGCCCCTGAGGGAGAGGAACCAGCGTCCCTAGGCCTGTGCTTGGGCCCTGGGGGCAACAGATCATAGAGACAGAAAGTTCTAGGTGATGCAAACAAAGCCAGAGCCACTCATGCCGATCAGGGCTTCAGGGATGGGCTCCTAAAGCAGATGGCATTCACTCTGAAGCTTGAAGACAGAGACGAATTGAACTGTAACGTAGGACTAGATCTAGAGTGAATTTAATGGCTCAATCTCAAGCCACTGAATGAAGAGGTAGCTGAGAGTGCTCAAGGGGAAGTTTGTTGAAAAGGTGTTGGGACTGTGGTGTGGGATGGTTGGGTCACAGAGAACAGTAAGCTGTGCTTATAAGAACAGGGCAGAGGAGGCAAGAGTCAAACCAGAGAAGGTCTCAAAAGCTGTTCAGAAGGCGTGGGACCGTCTCCTATTGACAGAAAACCTGTGCTAGCCACCATTTAGACTCCCCACCGCCCTTAGTGGCCATCCACCACAACCATGGCCACAAGCCCCCCAGAGGACACACCATACATCTGTGCTCTCTCCAAGGTTCTGGCCCATGATCCTTGTCCCTTCTTCATCAGAGAACAAGCCTTTCCCTCTACCTGGCCCGGTGGCAGCTCTGCCGTGTACACTCACCTCCGAGAAAACTGTCCTTCGGGCTGGGCTCTCCACCCCGAAGACAGTAAGGTATATGAGCCTCTTCCGGACACTTAATCTAGTTCCAAGGCTCCAATCACCTTTACGTCCCAAAGCAAAGTTTCCAGGCCAGGGTTTTCTCCTGAGCGCCTCATGGATAGTCCCAACTGCCTGCTCGGCATCTTTCTGGTTGACCAAAGGCTTCATAAAACCAACACAGCAAAACTGGACCTAACATCTTCACTGACAAGCAGACGACTCCTCCCATTTACCCTTCCTTCATCAGGAGCTTTGTCAGGGCTCCGGGGCCTCTTAGAACAGCCACCCAAGGCAGACTCCTAGACGTATGCTGTCACGTCAGCCTTAACTACTGGCTTCTTTCAACCCTTACATCCAACCAGTCTCTGTCCTCAGTCAACTGTCTCCCCATCACCATTTCAAAGGCATGGCTATCTGTTGTCTTCCATCTCCAGTATTCTGGGCTGGTCTAAGTTTCCCTCACAGCTCTCCATGCGTGCTGCAGGAAATGCTGCTTCTAACTGACCCACCACTCACTGGGGTCCTGCCTGAACTCGGGATATGGACACCAGTGGGGTGTAAGTGGGAGTTAAATGTTTCAAAGTGGATAAACCATGTTCCCCTATGTTATTAGAGATAAGAAGGAGGCTGGAAATTGGCAAGCTTGACAAGTAATTCAAGGGTCTGACCAAGTGGGAGAGATGAAGGGAGAAAGTCAAGCAGTATAAGGGACTTTGGACACAGTTGCCAGGAAAGGAGGAATTATTACAGTAAAGGAGAGGTCTTTGGGGCCAGTGTCCTGCCCCAACAGCAAGAGAACAAGAGCTTCCTGCAGGGCCTGAGCCTTCATCCCCCAGAGATAAGGGCTGGACTAGGGCCACTGCGTGTAACAACGGGGACTTTGCATCCCGAGGAGGGGTGATAAAGATGACGAGCTTCACAGGACAGGAGACAAAGAGTGAATCTAACTCTTTCTAGACTCTTGTCCGTGGGAGAAAAGAGAGAACAGAAATTAGGGAAGAACATGTGATTAAGAAAGGCTCTTAGTGCTACAATTTTTGTTATTCTTTTACATGAAGAAGATAATTAACCAAGTTAAAGGGTTTCAAGAAGAAATTCAGCAGCTCATGAAAATATGTACCCTAGTGACTAACACCACCAGCTGCTCCCCAGAGAAGGGCGAGGAATCTCCTCCTGTGCGACTAACTGCCTCTGCAAACCCGCTGGCAGGTCAGCTACGAGTGAGTTCCTGCTCGATCGTACACAACAACAACAGCAACTGACTCGAACCACTAAGAGAGCTCTGGTGCCAACATAAAGGTGTTGTTTGTTGTTGTTATGTGCCGTCGAGTCGTTTCCGACTCATAGCGACACAACAGCCCTAAACCCTGCTCTATCCTGCGCCAACGGCACCGCCTCTGACACACCCATCGCGATTACCCCAGTCACCGAATCAATCCATCTCACAGAGGGTCTTCCCCTCCTGCGTTGTCCCTCCACCCTCCCAAGCATGATGTCCCTCTCCAAGGACCGGTCCCTCCTGGCAACATGTCCAAAGTATGTCAGACGAAGCCCCAGAATCCTTGCCTCCAAGGAGTAGCTTGGTTTAATCCTCTCCAAGATAAATCTGTTTGTTTTCCTGGTAGTCCAGGGTACATTCAGTACCCTTCTCCAGCACCACAGCTCAAAAGCATCCACTCTCCTTCTGTCCTCCCTAGTGATTGTCCAACTCTCTGATGCATAACAAGCGATTGCAAATACCATGGCCTGTATCAGGCGCACCTTAGTCTCCAGAGAGACACTGTTGCTCCTGAGTACCTTAGAGAGGTCTCTAACAGCAGACTTTCCCATCGCGATACGCTTTTTGATTTTCTGACTGCTGGTGCCAAGAGTGTTGACTGTGGAGCCGAGCAAACTGAAACTGTGAACACTCTCAATCTCTTCGTCATCCATCCTGATGCTGCCAATTGGGCCAGTGGCGAGAATCTTTGTCTTCTTGACATTGAGCCTTAGTCCATACTGAAGGCTGCAGTCCTTGACCCTTCGGAGCAAGTGCATGAGGTCCTCCTCAGTTTCAGCAAGCAGGGTTGTGTCATCTGCATATGCAGTTCAAATCCACAGCTGCTCTGCGGAGATGAGCGGTCTCCTCCTACACAACTAACTGCCTCTGAGAACCCGCTGGGGCTCAGCTCTGCGTCAGTCCTACTTGATGGTACATATCAACAACGAGTGACTAACTCCACTCAAGACAGGAATCCATGAAGGAAGGGATGATATCTAGGTACCAGAGCAAATGAGAGGAGACTCATCTAGAACTCAGGAGGATGTGCTATTCAAGAGCACTCCAGGGGAGGAGAGAAACAAGAGACGTATTTTAGCTGGAGGGACAGGAGAGACACGCGACGAGAGACAGGCGAGCGGGCTCCCTCTCGGAAAACTCCAGTCTTCTCAGCGAAGACAGCAATTCATTTTCAGAGGTACCAGGTGTAGACTTCAGAGGAGGACTAAAAATTCACAATTGTGGCTGCAGGAATGGACAATGGAAGCGGAACAAACGTGAGGCTAGGACCAGGCTTGGTGTAGGCCAGGAAGTTTTTAAAGGCTGGGGATTCTAGATGGATAGTGGGTTATTCGAGGGAGGTGACTTTGAAACCAAGGATTTTGAAACTCTGTCTCACATACTTCAGTCATGTTGCCAGGAGGTCCTTGGAGAAGGACATCCTG